ACACACTTTGCAGGAGAGAGGTTTTGACAGATATGAAAAGAGAGGTATTTTCATGCATCATGTTGTACACATACTGAGAATGAACCTACTTTTCTTTTAAAACTGCATCTCCAAATGAATCTACTTTTCTTTTAAAACCTACTGAGAATGAATCTCCAAAACTGCATCTCCAGGTTAGATCAACATGCCAAGATGCTAGACATCGAGCGACGGCGCTTAGCTCTCATCGACGAAGCTGAACGCCAGGCTTTCCTCTGAAACTGCCTCTCTTTCATCTGCCATTCTACTTGCTGCGGCAAGATCTGTTTCATCAGGGTTTGCTGTCATCTTTGTTGTCACGGCAGGCTAGAGAAGAAAAGCAGGAGGCACCGATATGCTTTGGCTTTGATAAGACATGATGCAAATAAGAATAGATTGTTCAGGTTTCTAGTTGTTGGGCTGCTGTATTGGGCAGTATTATATGTGGACTGCAAGACAGATCCGGTTTTCCGATGCCTTTCCCAACGCATATCTGCACAGTGCATGTAAGATTTTTTGCTCTCCACTTGTTTATTTATATATATAATATTATATATATATATTTCTCTTTCTATATATGTATACACAGATTATACACACGTTAAACCTGTTGTTGTTGTTGTTGTCGTTGTCGTCGTCGTCATTGTTGTTGTTGTTGTTGTTGGTTGTTGTTGAACATGATATCTAATGATCTGAACTCAAAGGATAGGTTCAACAGAGGAAGGTCCACTGATTCACCAGATTCTGTGATGTATGTGTTTAAAGTGCTTCAATGTGATGTTGCTACATTCATCATCCTGCAGGCCCTTGCCCAGAAGCAGGCAGAAACCGAACAATTAAAGGTGCAACAGCCCCTTGGATGGCCGACATGGCTGATATTCATTGATGTCAAATTGATGTCAAACATCTTATTTGTTAAAGTTCCAGTTGGCCTCATGTTTTTCTTTATCTTTCTTTGTTCCTGACTTTAAGCGGGTGCGCACAGAAATACCTCCATGAAAGTTTTGTCTCTTCGAGTAGCAGCAGTGAAATAAATGAATTAGCAAAGCAATGAAACGCAATGGCTGGCACGTGTTTAGTTAGACGTAAAAAAAGGCAAACCAAAGTTCAAAGCCAAGCCCAGGCACATCCAGGTACAGATGTAACATGATGTAACAACTTGATTGCTGCGAGCCTTGCCAAGGCAGAAGATGATGGAATGGGAAGCCTTCATTCCTGATCCGCCGCCAAAGCCAGATGAGGCCAATAGTCTTAAAATGGAAGCGGCTTCAGACATCTTTAGACAAGATCATGGAGAAATCGAAATGACAAAGGCTTTGTTTTGACTATAAGCAGTTCAGACTAGTCCAAACATGTGGATCTGATATCATCCGATATGATCTGATGTTGTTTCAAAGCTTCTGAAACTCCGAACCTGCTCCGACTTTCTCGTCGACAGTTGGAAATTGTGGAGATCAGAGCAGAGGAGCTTTTGGTGGTGGGGTCCTTGGGGTCTTGGGGGCCTCGTTGTCGATGCTGCAGTGAAGCCTGGCATGTGTGGAGAATTGCCTGTCAAAGCTGTAGATTTGTCATCAGTCACGGCATGAAATCTAGCATGTTCCCTTGATTATTGTATTGGTTTTGCATGTACCAGTTGTGATGATGTACCCTGTGGAAACTCGAAACTAGTCAGTTCTCAGCTGCCTGGCACTTGTGCCGCTTGTGCATACTTGTGCATGAAACCGCTGAGGCTTTAGAGGATGGCACGATTGTACCAGTGACTGAGGAGCAGCTGCCGGCGTTGCAGGAGTTGTCAGAAGCTAAGGAAATCCCTTAACAAAGCATGGGATCTCAATGTCTCATGGCATCTCGTCAGCATACCTCGGCCTTAGTTGGGCTTGCGTGGCCTAGTTCGGCTGTGTGAGTGTAGGTTGTCATACGTCAGTTCATGTCACCTGTCAAGTGCCACCTTCAAAGTCAGAAATCCAGATCCTGAGGAGGATCGTTTTTTTCCTGTTTAACATAGATTGAACCTTGCTATTTCAGGTTTGCCCAAGAGAAAGAAGAGGGGCAGAAGCTACTTGGCAAACCTGTGGTGCAACCTCCACCAGAAGGCGGCATGGACAAAGACGTGACTCATTGCAGAGCTCATAAAATTTGCTGCAAATGCATTTTGGCTTGAGCTCTTGGACATGGATGCTGCATCACAAATCGATTTAAATCGTTCCTTTCAGTCTTCCATAGTGCCATAGTGGCTCTAGCGCTTTTGCTTCTTGCGCTTCTTTTCAGGTGAGGATGGTGAGCCCAAGACGGTTCTGGAGAGCTTCCGCGTTGGAGTACCTGGAGAAGGTTTGGAGAGTCCGATGTTTTTTCACCTCAACAAGCACTCTGTCGGTTTGCTGAAAAGGCTTCATCTTCAGTGGCACAGAGATGCACAGAGATGCACAGAGTCTCTGAAAGTCACGCCATTTCAACTCTTTCAACTCTTTTACCAATTGTCACAGACTCTTTCCATCTTAATGGCCATGGATGGCCTGGGGCGAGGCATTCCAGAGGCTGCCGACCCTGAAGCACCCAAGGAGAGGAACTTGTGAAGCCTTGTGAAGCCTTGTTCACTTGTCTCCCATGCAGCAACTTCGCCCAGTATTTTGATGTATTTTGCTCTATGACTTGAACTCAGCAGTCTTCACTTTGCTCTTGAATCAAAATCACTCCTGCGGCTTGAGTCTGTCGCAGTCTCCAAACATGCAGATTCTTGTTTTGTTGGGCCAATGAAGGCTTTCGGTTTGAATGAAGATTGCTCTTGATTATGTGATGTTGCCGGAACCATTGGTGGAAAACGGTGGAATATGGAACAATGACCTCGCAGATAACTGGCAGATAACTCGCAGTATGGGCCAATCCTGTGCCCTTTGTTGCCTCGTCGATGCATGGTACAACGGCCATGACAGGAAGGTTAAGCTCCGCCTTGAGGCGAGCTTCGAGCTGAGTTCGAGAACTGGGGATGGGCCAACACCAAGCAGACAAAACGCTGGGAATGTGAATATTTCCACAGATCCAAATTGTCGATTCATGTCGATTCTGTTGTTTTGATGTTCACAAGGGTACAAGGCTTTCGGCTGACTTTCACGTGCTTCTCTTATGTATTTGTTTGCCTAGTTGTTTGGTTGTTATCAACACAATGGACAGGTTACATAGCAGCAGTAAGTGGAAACCAGCTGCTAGTGCCTTGCCATGCAAGTGAAAGCAGAGAAACAATGTGGACTATTAACCTTGACAAGTACTCAGGCCGTACACGGAAAGGGCCTTAACATGCCTTAACACTTGTGCTCCTTTGTGCATCAAGATAGATTCTGCGAAGTGGCAGGAGAATCTATGGCGGCATTTGGCATGATCTGATCCCAAGAAAACCCTTGCCAAAGATTGCGGAGTGGAGCTACCGAAAGCGGTTTTGAACTTTTGACGTCTCCATCTATTTGTGAGATTTCTCGGTCAAGACGCTCCAAAATCCTGGCAACTGACAAGCTTGGTAATTGATGAGAAGTCCTGTTGATCGCAAGACTGCGAACAGGGCAATCGATACACTTCTCACCTGCATTGTCTGTATTCACTATACAGGCACAGGCAGTTGAAACCAGAAGCACGTCGGTTTCATACTCTGAAATGTATATACTCTAGTGCTGGCTGCACATCTGATCCAAAATTGGGTTTTGACACTGAACAAGAGTATCCTGACCATGAAAGTCAAGTTACATAAGAGCATGGTTCATATCAACCTGTTTTATGACGACAAGGTGCCGTGCAGGTCGCAACATGCAACCTGCAGCCTTTTGCCTGTGTTTCTGATAGTTTCACCAAAAGTTGTACTTGAAGCATTGCATCTCTTGTAACGATATCTCAGCAATTGCAAAAGAGCCGGCCATGACGTGCATGCATGACAGTGCTTTGTTGCAGACAAGACATACTTTCATTCTCAACATTTGGACACATCTCAAGGAAAGAGTTTGAAAATTGATGCAGAAAGACTTCAAGAAACTTAATGACTTAACTGCCATAGCTATAGTCATTTTCCAACTTCAAGGGTTTACTTACTGGCGTGCACAAGCTTCAAGCAGCATGTTGACATATGTTGACAATGGCCCTTAGTCTCCGAGACACTGGGACGTGAGGGAGGTTGAGGTGAAGATTTTGAAGATATTTGAAGATGATGTATCGGATGTATCGTGACCTCGGAACGTTTTGAGTCTGCGAAGAGTCCTGAGTATATCTGGATGCTGGGGCATTTGCAGCTCAGACGCTCACTAGCTTTCTTTGACTCCAGCACTACAAGGCCTGCTTTCTCATTAAATCCGTATTTTCTACTTTCTTGACTCACTTGACCATCGGATTTCCTGGTAGGCATCATCCAACTGACATTTGACAAGCAACAGGTATTTGCCGTTTGAAACATTAGATCGAAGATGGCGTCGAAATCAAATATATGAGAATATACCACAATGATCCACAATGTGATCTATGCACTTGTCCGCCTTTGAAGAGTTTCACTTGCATTTGAGAGGGTTGGGCCACACAGTGAAAGCTACAGATTTGAGCAATTCCTGGCCATTTCCGCACTTCATTTGGTAGGGTTTGACAAAAAATCGAGTGTCGAAGTAGGAAATCTGGTGAAGACTCCAATTTTCCGGAGCTGAGATAATCCGTAGATCTATCATGATCTTTGTAATGCTACAAGAGAATGTTTACTGTCATTTATCTCAGTGGTTCACTATACATGAGACATTCCCCTGAGTGTCGAAATCGTCACATAGCCAGAACTCACCCTAATGGATTGAATTGGAAGGCCCTAGCAGGGCTTGCTTTGAGCATCCTTGAACATAGGGGATGAAGTCAGAGCATTGCCGCCTCGTGCTGCCACATGGTGGTCATGTTTTTGATATTTGCAGTTTTTTTCACCTGCCCTTCTCCGCTTCTCCGCTTCTCCCTCCGCGCCACGACCTGCAGTCATGGCAAAATTTGGCTCTCTTGACGAACTGCGGAAGAAGGAGAGAGTCGAGAGTCGAGAGTCTCATGGATAAGCCACAGCGCCTCATGGCAGCTCCAAGTTCCAGTGATTTCAAACGACTTTCAAACAATTTTCAAACAGATGGAACATGATGGAACATGATGGAACCAGTATTCAAAATATTCAAAATATTCAAACCTGACGATGACACATACAGCTGCACAGTCCATAAGTCTATCGTTGCGGGTTTGGGTAAGCTGTGATCCTTGGAGCAGCTTGACAGGAGGAAGAAGACAAAGAGAACTCCAACAGTTACGTGGGGGGAGACAAGAGGCGCACAGCGCACAATTCAATTGATGTGGCCCAATGTGGCCCATGAATCGCAATGAATCGCAATGAATAAACCATAATAAACCCAAATCTATCAGCGGAGTGTGCGGAAGAGGTAGCCCCCATTGAACCTCGGCAATAGAATCTGTAGGGCAAATGTGAGTTTCATATTGAAATGGATCTGGTGCTGTGGGTGCTGTGTATGTCCATCGGAGGCTGCTGAACTGTGTGAATACTTTATAATGAGGGATAATAGCCTTGTTGAATGCATGGCTCATTTCCACACCAATCGCCCTGTTGCAGTGGCCTTGCGGTTGAACACCCGGACTCCAGCAAAGATGCCTGGCAACGCAACTTCATTGCAGCTTCAGAGTCCGAAATGATCACAGACCCAGCTTCATTTCGTCTTCAGTTCCGAAATTGCACGGTGAGCCTCGCAATCGTCATGCAAGTTCTCTACCGGCATGGGTCAGAGAAGGATCTCCTATCTATTAGCCACTCATTCTCATGAGTCCTGCAAGAACAGCATCCGTTAAAAGAAGTGTGATTCTTTCCAAGGCATGCAACAGCTCGCGTCGAGCGGTGCTGCAGGTTCAGGCCGAGTCTGCTGGGTTGACACGGCATTTGAGAATGTTTGATTACCTCGAATGCAGCAGTGCCACTTCATTGACTATCATTGATTGTCAATCGTCATTGATCACCATTTATTCGTTTTTTTTGTTGTATTACTATGTGTTTCTTGCGCAACTTGTTCTTTTTTGATTCCTTTGCCGTGCAGGGCTTTTTCGGTCCTCTAAGCATCTTCAGGTCCTTTGCCCGCTGATCATCGAGTAGTTACAGTTTACCGCAATGGGTTCACGGTCTTGGGCTTGGAACTGAAAGTAAAATATGCCTTGAATTGAGCATAATTGAGCATTGATAAAAATGATAAAAGTAAAGGAAACACATGGCACGGCCCGCACGGCACGACCGACGTCTTTTTGCTGCGCCTGGTGTATGTTTGACGGCTTCACCTCGTAGCTTTCTGACCGCTCAGGTTGGGGATGGACCTTTCCGGCCCTTGTCTGATCCGCTCAACAAGAAGTTCATGGACTGGGTGCAAATTTGTGCGCTCTGCTTGTATTATGTTGGCTATCAACACTGGCCATCATTCACTTCCAGCTATATCATGGTTTTAAAAAAAGGCTTAGCTAAAAGGTCAAACTGCCTTGAACTGATATGCTTAGGATACATGAGAACAAACTTGAGCAGCTTTCAGCTGCGCCAACACTCGATATTTGCGAACTGATGCGCTTCCTCAAATTTTGCTCAGTCTGCAATATTCATGTACATAATACACATATCATATACATGTACGATCATGTACATATACATATAAATACATGTACATATTCATACACACTTACATATACACATATAACATATACACATAAATCACATATATACATATATATGAGTTACATACACATCTGATATGATTTGAATCACGGCAGATTCCAATGAACCCTGGTTTGCACGCGCTTCAAGCTGAGGTCTACACCCCTGTAATTTCAAAAGAGAATTCAAGAATATGTCAAGAAGGCATGGGAAGTTATAGTAAGAAAAAACAATCATCATGGTTTGTTCATTTCGCTCTACGGCACTTTCCTGAGGTGCGACATATTTGAATCTTGTTCTCATGCGCTCTGGGGTTGCCTTTTTGGAGAGGATATGGTTGTATTCGTGTTTCCCGAAAATGCAACGTGCAGCGTCTTCTGCAAGATGTTAGAGTTTTGAACATGAAATGGGCAGGACGAGATGGCAGCAGGACGTTGTCCCGCGGAACTGCAGGCCCAGGTGCAGAGAAGTAACTGAATACACTCACTTGACTCACTTGACTCTCTTGACTTATCGACTTACTTGATGTTTAATGGCTCTCGAACCACAACAAAGACCGAAGGATCTTGATCATCCTTTTGAAGGGAACTGGGAACTCCCTCTCCAAAACCGCTCGCTGCTTCTGGATCAGTTTTTCAAGGCAGGCTCCAACGAACCCGTTCATGTTGCTGTTCAAGACAAGCGCGGAGAAGATTACAAGGTGTCACCGTCGGTGCCATTGCTGTTGATATTCTCTTGAAGTTGATCGCACCTACAAGCTGCCAACATTTTCCACCAGTGCTTCAGATCATGCTGCAAACGTCTGCTACACTTGATTTCCTTCTATTTTTGTCGTCTGATGTGGGAAGGAGCCAGCTGCACCTTCGTATGTGAAGTTCTCTGGAGAGGCATGAACTGGGCAACCTACACATTTATTTGCACTTACCTCATAGCTTGTCACTGAAAGTTGGTGAAGGAAAACATCGAAGCAAACCTTTACATGCATTGAACATCGTTTAACAAATCTATACTTGAGGCGATGACAATTCTGATTTCAGTAACAATTCCAACCGCTGCACATTTTTGCCGTGCTAGGGAAATACACTGGGTGGCAGCTCTTCTTCAACGGCTGCGGTTGAGGCCGTGAAGAAAGAACCTTGACCTTGCCTAGGTTTTACTAATTTTACTAGGTACTCTTTGCATCACATTGCTAGTCATTGTTTTAGTCCATTGGCTTTGATTCAATCTTGCATAGCCAGAATCTTCAGCGACTCTTCCCGGGAAGGCCGACAAAGCATCAATGACGGTCTGGGACCGACATTTGCGAATTGTGGGAGCAGGGTGACATCCATGGCGCCAACTTTGGCCGTAAGCGATAGAGATTGTAAGCGGAACCCGAGAACTGTAGATAGACTTGCACACGGACTTGCACGTGATCAATTTAACAACAGTGTTTGGCTCAAGTGTATTTTATTCTTAGCAATCAGACCCGAGTTAGAGGTGCCAGAGCCAAGGACTGAGTCAGACTTTTTGAGCCCTGACTAAGTTGCTTCACAGAGTGATAGAGAAACAAACAAACCTTTGCGAAAAACCAGGTTCTGTGAACCGCATACGTTCTGTTTAGCTCTTCTGCTTTTCCATGTTTGAATTGTTTCTATTTTTTCTCTGCCTCCCCAGGAGCGCCATGGCAGTTGGCCGTGCGATGGGAGCGCGTATGCGAAGCCTGATGGCACGCAGCCCAAGTTTCCGTGTGTGGCTGCCGGTTTCATGGCACAGACACTCGGTGTCTGCCATTTTGTGCGTTTTCTTCGAACAATCCTCTAACAACGGACTCGAAGCTAGGCATTTCTGAACTGTTTGACAAGTTTCAGTCCACTGGGAAGGCAACAGAGTGCCTGGCCCTTCCTGGCCTTGACCTTAGCAGTGCAGCAGAAAGGTGCTAAGAAGTTACAAGTCTTACAGGTACTACGCAAATGGACAACTAGCACGGCTATTTCAGTTTTTCCGTCCTCTCAATCTACAAATCTAATCTACCTTTTCGCTGAAGCGCTCTTGGGACAATTGGGGATTGCGCCGCCGAGCCCTGGCAAAGTTGCTTCGGCCAATTTCGAATTTCGACCATCTTTATCACTGTGTGGCAAGTGTGGCAAGTGTGGCAAGTGTGGCAAGTGCCAAGGTGCATACAATGGACTGGTGGGGCGGATGGTCGCTCAGCAGGGCTTCAAAGGCCTGCAAGCGAATAAATCTAATAGGACAAAGAACAAAAGATAAAGAAGTCAGGTTTGCAGTTGTCCATAAGCAGACTTCATGTGCGTGAATTCCTCCTCATTTTCTTCAGGGTGTCAATGGATTTTTAAAAAGAGAACCCTAATGTGCACCGAAATTGTCACATCACTTTGATCCTACCATAGGCTGGTCATTTTTCTCAAAGCGTATGGGATTAGCATAGCGTTCTGCTGGTCTCAAGAACAGTTTTCTGCAGAAAGCATGACTTTGGAAAACTGCGGTCTGGGACAAATCTTGGGGTCCAGGACATGGCTTTTATTGTTATTCTGTGACTAGCCATACAAGGCCGTCGTGTCGTTGCTATCGTACTTTGCTGGATGCTAGACGCAGTAGTGTATGCAAAGCCAATGCTTTGCCAATATTGTCGGCGGAGTGAAATTATTCCTAGTCTGAAATGTTGAAAGCTACCGTTTCGATTCTGCGCAATCTTTTGTCTTCAGAAAGGCTCCTACTTCAGCGGCGGAGCCCTCTCTGCAAGCAGTGGTGTTCCAGATATAGGCAAGGCTTTGGATGGTGAGCGATGACTATATACTTGAGCAATTCCAGTCTCTGATGTTTGCGTCGTGCGTTTGATTGCTTAAGCCTCGGTGCACTGGAACAATTTGTGGCTTTGAGCAGCAACAGGCTTGACTTCAATCGATCAGTTTGCGTCAAGGCTGGATTCACAAAGCTTTCTGGCTTCAGAACAAAGAAATACAACATGTTATCTTTTGTTCTTTTAACGAAAGAGTTATAGATATCAACGCTCATTTTTCCTATTTTTGGGATGTTGCTGACTCAATTTTCTTGAGCCACATTGATTCAACGAACCCAATGAGCAACCACAGCAACACTTGTACAACAAGCAGAACAAGCGCAGCAAGCGGCCCCCAGGATCAAGGAAGTCGTGTCTGTGTCCAATTTGCCACTGATTGCAGATGCAGACACAGGCTTTGGAGAGGCCTCAATGTGTTTGAACAAGGTTTGCATTGGATATATGTCAAACATGTTTAAACATACTTAAACCATCTTAAACCACAGAGCTTCACTTCAGGGACAGATACTCTTTGTTCCAAGTCCACTTTGAGTCAGGCGAATCATGTTGCCTCTGTGCTTAAGATTCTACAACAGCAACTCAATGTGCTTCGTGAGAGCGTAGCCACGTAGCCGCTGGAAAGAGCTTTGCCAGGGAGAAATGGTTCGGAGAACGGTTGAAGAATATTGCTGGGTCGGAGCCTTGAGAAGCCTGGGTCACGAGTGTGAGTGTGGATTGATTTGGGATCCCTCATATAGTTTTGCTCAGAAAGCATTCAAAGATTGAGCCACTTTTCATGCGACACGACAGAGGGCAAGGTGATGACTGAAGGGGCCAGTTGACCCTGACATCCTTAGGCAGGAGCTGCAGGATTGCACATTGAAGACCAGGCGGGCTGGCAAGCTGGGCAAACATCTCACATTCTTGGTAGCTACCTCAATACTCAATACAAAAGGGCAGGCTTGAAGGCACACTTTGAAACTTTTAAGACCATATCTTTTCATATCTTTTCCAGTACTCTTTTCTATTCTTTTTGCTTTCACCATGTTCCAGGTGTTTCCGAAGCGATGTGGTCATTTGGATGGGAAGGCGCTGGTTCCGATCGCCGAAGCCACAGATTTCAGAGATGGAATTGGAGCATGTTGACAAGGCTAGGACAAGCTGCAAGAGGATGACCTGGGCAAACGACCAATTCTAGACGGTGAAAAGAGAGATGTGAAACAATGTAAAACAAAGCGTTTGGCAAAGAGATGCAAAACAAAGAAGGAGGCACAAAGAGTTTGTCAGAAGGATATGCCATAGGGGAAGAAATGCAGAGAAGTAATCACACTTTGACAAGAACTATTTGAATCTCCTGCGACCTTTCATCACCGGTAGATGGGAGGCAATAAGGACCAGTTGTGCGCCGAGGATGTTTTCGTTGAAAAAGTTGAGCGAGCTGCTGAAGCATCGCCTGGATCTAAGCTGTGCTGCAAGTGTAGCAAAAAACCCAAAGCAGAAAGCAACTGGAAATTCTGGTTAGCTGCATACTACACTCTTCATATAAACCTGCGCAAGCAGAGGGGCCATAGGATTACGGGCAGTGGGTCACAACATGGCCGCCATAGCCGTTTCAAGTGAAGGAACTGCATTTTTCAAGGGAACGCTTTGTGCGATGTCAGCACTATCTGAAGACATGTGCCACTTCCAGCAGGAAACACCGTGTGATTCTGGAGCTTTGTGCAATGGGATGGGAAGCAACGTTTGGCGAACATGGTCCTGTTCGAAAAGCCACTGGTTCCTGCATGGACAGTATATACAACCTGAACTTACCTGAACATGATTTCCTTTTGTTTTCTGGAAGCCCTTCCCACTCAGAGACTATGTGTCTCGGGCTTATATCGCGGTTGTGCCGTATGCATGCCAAGCAACTTTGCCTTACCTGTAAGCAGTGTCCTGGATTAGAACCGACCCAATATCACAACTCATCCAATTCCTTGCCTTTTTTGGTCTCTATGCATCTATGGATATTTCGCTTCCAGGATGAATCACATGGTTCAAACAGTGAAAAGCGCATGGTTCAGACTTCTGAGGCAGCGTTGCTCTGATGGGCAATTTATTGTTTGTGCTCGTACAGACGCAGCTGGTGTGTGGGCACCTCAGGGAATTTCAGGGAACTTTTCATGTCAAGTCCAGCTTTTGGTGAATTCAAAGTGACATCGCCCGCAGAAAGCCCCATTTGCTCAGGCCAGGTGAAGGCTTTGACCGAGCTGTGGAAAGAGCAACTGTCCCAGTTGATCCCTTTGATCCCAGATAAAGTTTTGCCGAACAGTTTTGCCAAGTCTTTCTCTATGAATCGACTCTCAATTCCTTGGTCTCCAAATTCACGCAGGCAGGAGCGTATGTCAAGGCAGGCGCGGACATGATCTTCCCAGAGGGCCTGCAGTCCGAGGAACATCTCACATGTGCATTGCTTGAGAAACTGTGACAAACCTAGGGTCAAATCTTCTCAAATCTTCCTAAGCGAATGAGTCCTAAGTCTGTTCCTAGGGCAGTGTCCATGCCACAATTCTGTATGTAAGCGGGTATGTAAGCGTGTGCATGTACGTGTAGGTGTGTCCGTTCTTGTTTGGCTGCATGAATGAGAAAACATATCTTCGGACTCAGACAAACTCTTGGTATCCAAAGTTTCAAAGGCTTCGGACCCACGCGACCCATGAAGACCCCTGAAGTGTCAGTAGAGACATGATACGTACATCATGGATAGCTGATGATAGCTGTACTTCTAGACTTCTAGACCTGTGATGGGAGGAAGACTTCCGGAAGTTCGCAGAGGAAATGAGAAAACTGCGGGAAGCCCAGCCATTATCCAGCCATTGTCTCTTACGTGGGATGTTTGATGCAAACGTTTTGATGCTTGTTTGAAACATGTTTTATCTGCTTCTCTTTGCGCGCACCGAAGATGTATATATAAATGAAAGAAGCCGTCCAGAGAGAAATGTGATCTATTCTTGCATCTTGCAAACCAGAACGCGCTGTTTGGCTGTCAAAGCTTCTGGCAACAAAATCGAAAGACCAGTCCATCCTCAAAACGAGACGCGCAAGACATTTGTCCCTTCTTGGCGGGTACAGATAGGCTCCTACCATGCACTCCCAAAGTCTTTCCCTAGACATTGTTCATAGATGCTTTTCATATCTTTTCATTGTGCTTTTCTCTTCACCTAGTTCCGTTGGGGGATGGGGGGATCGTATGAGGACTGGGCCAGCACCTGGTGGTGGGCCATTCATGCTGGCCAACATGACTGAGTACCCTGGAAGAATGATGGTGAATTTGCTGCCTATAAAACAGTGTAAAACCAGTGTCAGGTGAGTAATTACATTGTGAGTGCAATGAAAACATGGCAAACATGGCAAAAGCGACAGCAAACCTTTCATTGGTCGCCATCAATGTTGGAAGTCTCATGGACATGACATAACTTGTGCTTGCTTCGGTGTGAAGTGCAAGGTTTGGGAAAACTCCGTACCTCACACTTCAACAGTTCCAGGACCTGGGCTCTGTCCTCAATGTGTAGACTCTTCAGACGTGCCATCATAAGATCAACTTGTGACCTGGACTTGAGAATCTTTAGACATCAAGTCTTGAGTCTTCTTGATCGTCTTGAGTATTGGAAACCGTGGACGATGTGGACGATGTGGACGATATGGACGATGTGGACGATGTGGACGATGTGGACGATGTGAATGCTTTTGGAAAAGCCTTTCAGAATCTTTCAGAATTCAGAATCCTTTTGATGTGCTTTTGGGTCGGCCTGATCTGACAGGCTATCATTGCGTGATCTACCCTGTGAGCACATTAAGAGCAGCAATGCAGGGGCCTGAGTTCGATTGCCACCAGGAATGACCCATCAAAACCACGCTATAGCAACATATAGCAACACTATGATAATATAATATAACATGAATATAGAAAAGGGCAAGAATTGAAGCAAGAAAGGAACAAACCGGAGCTCTTCTCAGGGCTTGCCAGTGCTTCTGTTGAATCGTCTTGCTACTGCAAGGCCTGCAGTTTGTGGTATGCCAGCAAAGAATGCAAAATGCAGTTGACGGTTCCAAAGTTTTCCAAAGCTTGAAAATTATGATCTGCGTCGTTGGTTATTTGGTCTTGTACAAGATGCAGTGTTTGGCCACGCATGGCCACCTTTTTTACTGCTAGGATGCTGACCTTTGGTTTGAGTTGACTTCGCATCGAATCGGAGTCTACAATTGCTGAGTCCAATGAGTCCAATGAGTCCAATGAGACAGCCAGATCCAAGGTTTATGGGATCCAACAGATTCCAACAGATTCCAACAGCAACAACAGCATACAAGGCATACAACAGGAATGTCAGGAATAAAAATCATAAAACCAGTGCGGCCATATGCGGCCAATGGCTCATTCGCCTCTTTGTCCATAGATCTTGAGACGCCGTTGTAAGGAAGGGAGTCGAAGAATGCTTGCAGACGCTGAAGGACTGGAAGAGGTATACAGTGGGTCTCAACATCGATGGTAGCTGTCGACTTGGCAGGAGCAGGGCTCCTTGGAGCCATTTCTTGGGAGAATGCAATCTCGCGTGGAAACCAAGACACATTGCAATTGAGCAACCGATTTTAGAATCTGGAAATTATTGGCATACAAGATTTCTTGATGATGGGTACATGTTTGCAAAACAACAGAATGACCTATATAATTGAACTTGTCATCCAGCACAAATGGTTTTCGTGAAGTGGCTAATGCAGTCTTGTTTCTGTAGACAAGTGTTCGCAATTCAGCCTGGATGTGTTGTTGGTGGTACTTGTAGGAGCGAAGACGAATCAAAGGAAAGTTTCAGCTGTCAACATTTCTGAACAGATCTGAACTGTTTGATCGAGTGCTGATTTGGATTTCTGTAAGCGTCCTGTCTCGTCAAAGTGCACTTTGTGCATAGACCAAGGAAAAGAGCTTTACGAGCTCATGGACTACAAGCCTCTCAAAGAGTGGACGTACCCGCCAGAAGCACAGCAACCTTTCAAAACGTAGTAGTATGTGGTAGTTAAAGAATTTGTTTAACTCCATTCTCCTTTCTAATTATTCAAAACCCTTTAGGACCTCTTGCGATCTCTTGTCTGCATTTTGTATTGATCATGGTTTGCAACATCTCAGAACAATCCCATGCGGAGAATATCACTCACGTAGCACCACATATATCAACTTGGCAAAAGATGGCAGAAACAGGATTGTGTTTTCTTGAGGCCTCTGTGCAGATGTGTGCCGCCAATCGCGTACAATGACATATAGGATTGGAAGCAAAAACATCCGGTGCGACATTTTGCCTTATGGCTCTTGATTCTTGATGTACATCCATACGTACATTAACATACACCTCAATGCGTGTTGCATTTGGTATATGAGTCTATAGTTTGATTGTAGTCCGCTTTCGTACATTGGCGTTGCTTCAAATATGGGAGAAACATATTCACCTTTGGAAGGTGGAAACAAGAACCATCCCACATTGATGCACACATGAAAGGAAACTGAGTCCCCCTGGACACATCGTTTGAATCACAGCCCACCGTAAAGTGCAACGACTGGAGCAACAATCTGCGCTGGTCCAAGGTCACCTACGGGCAAAGCCTGAGCAGGCTGAGAACTCAAAAGCGAATAAGATCAAATAGGTTTTCAATGGTTTTCAAATAAGATCAATGGACAGAAAGTGACAGACATGAGAACATGTGGAATCTCATGTGAACCCCATGTGAATCTCATGAGAACTGGGCATCTTGCTGCAGGCTGTATGCCACAGGACTGTGAGGATGGAGATTCCTTAGACTTTTGGATCCAAAGCGCAGCGCAGAGGTTGACCACGAGTAGAGACGACGTGAATCATGAAGTCCTACAGAATCATACGAATCATATAAAATCATATTGAAGGATTCAACGTTGCTGAACTCTTGTGAACGTTTTCTGTTTGGAATTGTCAGTGTGAAGCGACGTTTGTCAACGCTCTGTTGCAGCAGCGTAGTCCCAGCCACTTGCTTTTGGCAAGCGATTGTCTGTACATAATTTAGCCAAAAAAAATCAGGATTTGAGAAAGCCGAGAATTTGACCGTGCTGAGAAGATTCTAAGCGCACTTGGCTTCAAGCGCAGAGCATTCAACACCAGGTCCTTCCAGCGATACAAGTTTCGATTGAGGTCGATGTCTCCAAAGCCAAAACGAAGATTCAAATTCGCTTTCACGATGGGACGAGAAAAGCCCAGGAGTTCAATGAGGACAGAGATGAACTCAGGAAATGAGATGAATAAGAATATGTTTCTCAGCACGCTCTTGCCATAAGAAATGGGAAAGTCACGGGATAAACATTGTGAACGTGCTAGGCACATCGAAGACTTGAGTCACATGCAAGTCTCCATCTATATATAGAATTATATAGAATTATATATTAAGACATTTAAGCTAAATTTCAATGCGTTGCTTCCATCATTGGTCCACTCTTAATTCTATGGTTTTATATGCAGATTTGCCATGATGTGCCGGAGAGAAGGTTAAGGAAAGATAAGCATAGCGGAATCAGAACAAGGACTTTGGTAATTTGTTGCAGTTCGCTTCAGCTTGCTGCAGTGCAGGACCACACTGTCGGAGACTTGCGCGCTTTCTGCGCTCAGTGCGTTGGTGGACAGGCACAGAATGTAGATAAAACCTGGAAGAAGTCTACTGTTGAGCATCTTGCGCGGTTAGACAATGCACTGACAGCGAAATTCACGAGAATCGAAGAGACTTCAAGAGAACATGACTACCAGTTCAGGTAGATGATGCAAGGACTAGGAGTGAGAAGCGATCTTTTTAGACAAACACTACTCACTACTCTTTGGACGCGTTGCTATCCAGACTCAAATGAAGTGTCTTGAGAGAAGCTGCGATGCTGTGAGTTGTGCCCTGCGAGGCCATGACAATTATGGGAGGCTTCCCACCAAAGGCACTGGTCGAAGATGAGCTTGGTCAACTTTTTGGATGTTTGGAGCACACTGCAGTGACTTACAAGATATTCCAAGATATCATGACATGTCATGGCGATGACTGCGTTGCGTCATTTGAACAAAAGATGATTATCTCAGATTATCTCTTTCAAGGTCAATTATCAAATTATCCGTTTGGAATCGTTTGAATATGTTCAATTGATTTCAATTGAACCTTGGAGCCTGGTGCAGCCCATCACGGACGACGGCCTCACATTGAAAGATGCCGGATTGTTGAACGCGGCAGTCGGATTCCTTGACATGCATATCATGCATTGACCAAACAAGAAAATATGGACATCCATGTCAGCCTGTCAGCTTATAGCATAGTTGGAACTGTGGACAGAACCACTTGATATGACTTGGACTTGATAACTCATAGATAAATGTGTATATATATATAATAATAATATATATATATATATTTTTATAATATGATAGATATGATAAATGTAAATATATTTGATATAGATCTGACATGGTTTGACTCGATTGCTGATTCTTGACACCTGGTGCGGAGCCGAGGGCTTTGGGTGTTTGATGGTGTTTGGGGATTTGGGTGCGAGGTCACCGTGAAGCCTTCATGAAGATCCTGCGAGAGCCAGGTCGCAATTCGCTGAGCTTCATCTGAAGTCCTGTCTTGCTTGGATCGTGCTGCGGGTTGAACAGACGCAGCGAACTGCCGAGGAAAAAACTGCCTCTATCGATGGTTTTGGTAAGTTTTTCCGTATTTTTGTACCAGAAAACAGGACACGGCAGGTGTTGCACGTGTAATTTGTAATATACGCGTGCTATCGCGTGCTCACATCTATTCATTCTTGCCAGTGGCTCAAAATTCTGGCAAGGCCTTGGACTACATTAGAACATTGTAGAATCGAACTCCATCAAACATAGATCATCTTGTTCACTTCCCATTTGTTTTCTTCTATGTTGTTTGTTTTCATGACAATTTATATATATGTTTTATTATTATTAATTATTACTATTTGTTTTTCATTTCTTTCCCTTGCGTTTGAACATCCATATCTGAACATCAGATCCTTTTTGACATTCTTTTCAATGATTTTGATACACCAAGTGTCAAATAGACCCTTAAATCCAAGAACCAGAGCACTTCCAAGACAGCTTGAAAGATGGCCCAAGTCTCCATGTCTCATGTCCAACAGTCTTTTTGACTTTGTTTCTTCAGTTCTTGGGACATTTCACTCTTTGACCACAAAAGCACTGCTTGACGCCAGAGCTGCTTGCCTCGCAGGCATCCCAAATTTGCAAGGAGGAGTACTTTAATTGGGACAAAATGGCCTTAAATTTCATTTCATTGATAGATAAGACTGAGTAGCTGATTAGTTTGTGAACGATTCTGAATGTGAGATGTCTACTGTCTACATTTAATATCATTTAATACCATTTGATGATATTTGTACAATTTTGCATACACGATTACACGATGCCATTATATTCGTGCATTTTCCCTCCAAAATCATCAATACCGTCATTTGGTGAAGGCATCTTCACAATGGTGATCCCTATGCAGATGCCGGCGCCTCACGCGTTCAAAAATGTCTTGCGGTCCGCACGTGGTCCACTCTTGGTCTGGCCAGGTTCATGAAAGATCATGAAAGATCATGAAAGATCATGAAAGATCATGAAAGTGCTGACATTTGCTGACCGCATCCGATAACACGGTTCCAGCTTGAAATTCAGCCGCTCATTTCTGCACGTCCGGCCAGGCCTGCAGTCTCTGCTCATTTTCCAGCACCAACTGACGGTGTCTGCGGCCTAAGCAAGAGGTGTTTTCTGAGGTAAGGGATGAAGAAAATCAAGAAACAATGATACAGTCAGACAAGGGTACATAGGCAATGACTATTCACACTTGCGGCCACCCAGTCTCAAGACTTGCAAACTTACAGGGCTTGACTAAGCTTTGCATTCTGGGGCAGTTTCTTGCCTTTCCTTTTGGTTGATGTGATTTTGGATGGAGTTGTCCCCAGAAAAGTTGCTTGTTTGCAGCAATTGCTCTGTGAAACCAGACTCCGACAATCCACAATAGCTAGTTGTTTAGCCAACAAAAAGCGACAAGTGATGTATACTTCCAGTCATTTGTTTTGCACAACCCTGGTTACTAGTCTTGCAGCCTCCGCTCTTTTTCTATTCCTTTGCTGCTAGTTGTTTCTTCTTTTACAATGTCCCTTGATCCCAAACATGTCTGACCCAATCTCAGCCACTACTTTACCTGCAGACTTATTTAATATAGGGCTCCCTGTTCTTAATCTCAGCAAGATCATGTACCCGTCTATGCTGGAACGGCGATGTGCAGCTTGCTAGGCCGTCAAACGAATGAAGTTCTCTATCATGGCCTGAAGCTTGGCTACTCCAAGAAAGGAACCCCAACGGTTAAAACTGGAAGTGCTTCGAGCATCTTGCATTTGAGACGGTACATGATCAAACGTGATTGGGAAGGTATCGCTGATTAGGGATGGCTTTTTTCTCGGAAAAAGCATTCTTCATCAGTGTAGGCAAAAGTCAGCACAAAGCAATCAAACTCCATGATGTGATCAGAGACAGATCTTTGTGTGGAAGTGACAGAGAGATGCTGTCTTTTTTCCTTTGTTTCTCCTGTTGGATTAGCAGAGCTGCAGGGCTGCGGGATTAGCATGGTGGGCCGGCTGGTTTGTGCCATCGCACAAGGCTTCCTGGGGCCACGACCTCAAGACTTGGAAATTCGCATGAGGTCCAAAGACTTGCAACATAGCAAAGAAATGCAAAGAAAGTATTGAGCAATTCAGTGTCTCTTAAGAGGCATTGTTCAATTTCGAGCATTGACAAGGCAAGACTTCTTTGGGATTCTGAACATGTTGCTTTCTTTCACTGCTGGAGTCTTCATGTTCAAAGTCGCAGCCTCGGCAAAGACCGACAAGGAGCAAGAGGGAATTCGTATTGAACTGTATTGAATACTCGCGCTTCAATGTTGACCAATCATTACTTTGATCACGGCTTATCTATGCTTCACCTATGCTTGAACTACGTATGCCAAGCTCAGGAAGATGAACGCTTTGCAAGCGTGTACAAGGCACCTCCCGGACCTTCCAGGGGTCTTCACAGTTTGGAGTTCGCGGGTGTCACTGGAGTCAGACTAGGGAGCAGAAGTTCGAGTAAAACCTACACGAAGAAGGCTTGTGTGCTTGTGTGCTTGCTTGCCTGGCTGGTTGGCTGGCTTGCTCGCTTGCTTGCTTGATGCATCCGTTTGTTGGGCTGTTTGTTTGTTTAGTCCGGGGGTCATCCAGACAGTGTGTCAGTGTGGGAGTGAAAAGTGATGAAAAGTGAGCCTCTAAGAGAGAAAAGAAATGGGCGGGAACGTCGGGACGGGAGTTTTTGAGTTAATGAAGGAGGGCTTCAGTGATGAATGAGTGCCAGAATTGAGCGCATACACCTGACTGGCGCGATGCAAAATCAGTGAATGATGGGGTGACGAGTGCATGTTCATGGCGACAGATGGAATCAAGATGATTGATAGGTTGAGATTGAAGGTTGAGTGACTGAAGTGATTGAGGACACAGCGCGCCTTCAAGGTTTTCCTTTGTGTGATGATGGACACGTGAATTTTCAAGAGTTGTGAAGGGTACGCAGACTGTGCCAACAGGATGTAAACCAACACTGTTTCTTTTTGTCTTGCACCACAACCATTTCTTGTGATGTTGATAGGAGCGCTGACTCATGTAAGTTGCTGAGGGCTCCTTTTCTCTGAGTTAGATGGCGAGTAAGATGGCTTCATATGGCTACTGAGCTAATATTTAGTTTAGTGACCTGGTGAATGATTCCATGTGTCCGCAGCCCGGAAGGTATTCTTTCAATTTCCCGCTGCCTAGGGGCTGCAGCGAAAGTTTGAAGATATTTACAGTAACCCGAACAAGATATATCAAGTTATCAAGATATAGAGTGCACGAAGTGCATGTCTTCCAGCTGAACTAAAGATATGTTGTTTTCTCAGACATATTAATGACTCTGTTGTATGACTGTTTATATAGATATGTTTGGCAAAGAGTGGCCTTTTATGCTGCGATGGTAGCTGTGCGATTTTGTTGCGGTGAGTTTTCTTGCTCGTCGCAGTGCATGGCCTCGAGTCTTTGCCAAACATGTGCAGCACAGGGCATGAGGCTTAGTCAACTTCGCTTGGATTTGCCTGGAGGCGATTTCAGACACCTTTTTGCTATGTTATGCTATCAGCATAGATACAGCTGCAATATGTCTTGGCACTTTAGAGAAGTTCTTTCAAGGAGAACAAGAATAAAGTCAGTGAGGCTGAGAGATTAAAGACATGAAAATGAGGTTGAAGTGAAAGGATGCTTTCAATAAAAGTATATAACAAGACTCTGAACAGAACAGTCAATCGACATGAAAACCTGCCCCCTCCAGCTAACCCTGCCCAAGTTCGCAGGTGCTCGTGGTAGAGCCACCCCAACTAGGAGTTGACCAACAGTTAGAGTTCAAGATGACTCAAGATGTTCAAAGGTTGAACTTCGGTTGAACCTTAGTTCTCACAGAGCTAATGGTCCTCAAAAGATGCCGGAAGTGTGCCGGAAGTGTGCCGGAAGTGTGCCGGAAGTGTGCCGAGTTGGATGGCGTTTGGTGACAAGATGTGACAAGTTAGTGAGACTTGGAATTCTTTGGAATTCTTTGAGGAATGGGTGGAACGCAGTGCCTCATGCCCTTTCTAGTCTTCTCAGCGAGTGGAAGCCTTAGAAAGCTGAGCCAATGTGCATCAATGTGCGATCTATGCGTAGGCACTTCGGAAGGATCAAAAGCACACTGCACATTGGAATGATTTGGAATGTATGGCAACCTTGTGTATATGCAAAATGCAGAGATGGTGTACGATCGGATATGATCAAAACATACCCAAACCCCAAGTTATTATCCCCAAAGCAGACGCGGCACAAGAAAGATGTCAGTTGAAAAAGACCAAGCTCACTTTAGCCAATTAGAACCCCCAAGCCAACGTAAGATGGCAGGGCTTAGGGCTACTGTACCTGGGAGTAAACATACGTCGTTTCGAACTAAGAACTGTTGAGAACCTGTCGAAATCCTTTCTTGGAGCATTGAAAAGGAGCCTCTTAGCCTTTTGGCCTTTTAGAACCCTGTGAAACATAGTGAAACATTGTGAAAGCACAACTTCTTGGAACGAAATCCTCGTTTTACTCCCAGGCCAGGCCACTGCCTTCAGCCCAAACTTTGGGGGAAAAATAATGAAGCATGACGAGACAGATACCATGTAAAAACAGATGCGAATAGGCCGAGATTTCTTGAAATCAGTGGGATTAAAGGATAGGAAAGACACGTGCAAGGAAGGGCCAGGGTGGAACAACCAGCTCTCAATCCAATTGTCTTCGTGTTCAGTTAGCTTCATCTTGGATCTGATTCTGCGAATGGGAGCAGTCTCCTTGGCCTGTGTTGAACTTTTGCAAATTCGTGCTGTGTTGTGTGATATTGCCTGAGCTGCCGTGCACTGCACGTTCATTGGATCCAAACTTCCAATCTTCATTGAATGTCACTTGCGTTTGCAGCATGTCAATGCAGCTCTTTGTCCCCTGACAGTTGGCGTATCCGCCCTATGGCATTTTCGTTCTCATGAGCTGGATCTCGCAAGCTGTGCGGAGCCACAGCGGAGGGGCGCGTAGGATAGTTATAGCTTGTTATCAGCACAGGCATTGAAATAAGTGTATATATATATGTGTACACATTATATATACATAGTATATACATGTACTGGTATGTATTACTTATATTTCAATGCACAAGGGGTCATTAAAACACATTTTGATGCAACGTCTGACCAGTCTGAAACGTAGACTTTCCATCATGACTTAAGGCCTCGGCCTTGATATTTGACTTTCTGAGGCCGGAGCATATTTTGCATGGACGGCGTCAAATGCTGAGCATGGGAACGATAAGACGATAAGTTGACGAATAAGACCATAAGACTCAATATGTTCACCAGATCACCAGCTGCATTGACGTTGATGCTGTGTCCATGAATCATAGATATCATAGATATGATGGCATAGACATGCAAATTCATGCAAAATCATGCAAATATGTATATGTGCTTTTTCCCTGTTTCAAAAGGATGAGCACATACTGAGGTCAGAAAGCACAGCATTTATTGAAGGAGCAAACTGTCGTAAATCTTGCTTGCAACATACGGGGCATGCTTCAAGCAGATCGAAATGTCCTTCCTTCAAAGGAAATAATATATATATATATATATATCTTAGCTAGATTCAGATAGGTGCTAGAGGGCTTAGCGAGATTTCAAGAATATATGGTACGGTACGGTTGGGAAATGTGTTTTCCCTGGTACGTACGGTCGGTACGGTTGGTTGATACGGTTGGTACGGTTGGTTGGTACGGTTGGTACGGTTGGTAAGCGTACCAAGCGTACCTTACTAAGCGTACCAACCGTACCGACCGTACCGTACCAAGCGTACAAAGCGTACCAACCCTACCGTACCAAGCGTACCAAGCGTACCAACCGTACCAAGCGTACCAAGCGTACCAAGCGTACCAAGCGTAGCGAACCCATCTTATAGCTGGATATCAAGCACCTATCTTGAATTTAGCTAATATATATCCTTTTCAAGAACGTCAGCATTTCCGTCATCAAAATGCATTTTTCTCCTCAAGAGGTATCTAATTGACACGAATAATCTTTTTCAACAGACACTTTCATTCAATTTGTGCAGCGCTCCTTGTCACACATGCATTCCTTTTAAACAGGTAGCATTCCTTTAAAGAAAGGTACTTTTCTTTGAAGAAGGCACTGTTGATCTTAAAGAGGTAGTCTTTGTCGGAAGTTTGTTTTGCTTGAACATGAACTAATGATTGCACACTGACGTTAGAAAGCATAATGTAGCACACGTGCAGTATTTTCTTTCAGCAGTCCAGGATATTCTTGTTCAAACAACTACAGTAATACTTAGGAAAAAATGAACCAGTATTCTGATACTCATTGGGGAAGGCCCCATGGAGAAAACAAAAAACAACTCTAGAATTTCAACAAAAACAACAATACAATATTTGCTTGCTTGCTTGCTTGTTTGTTTGTTTGTTTGTTTGTTTGTAATTTTGTTAAACAATGTTAAACACGGTTGTTTCTATTTCTTATGTATTTGTCCATCTATTCATTTGCAAAACATGTGACGCCGAAAAAGTACTCCAGAAGACCAATCTCTGAAAAAAGAGTTGGAACTCCGTGAAGATGTACAAAGGCAGTACACTCGGGTTGCACTCCCAAAGTTTCTTCAACAGAATAAGAAGACCAAAGTTGTTGTCTCTGTGGACATCTGTGGACCCATAGGTTTCTCCATAATTACCATCCATATTCTTGGCAGGTTCTTAGAGCATTGCCTTTTGCACAGACACATTCAACTCTGAAAAGTCTTACATCTCTTTTTGATCGCTGAGGTTCAAAATCATGCGCGATTTGGAGCCAACAGAAGGCACTGAAATGGGTGTGGCTCCAAGGAAGTACATTTTCCGCAGAGACCCAAGACAAAACAGCTTTGCCTTGTCAAGGCGGGACAGTTGTAGGCGATGACAAGGTGATACAAGGAGCATACGTTAAACATTGTAAGCAGCTTTTGCGCTGCAGCGGTGGATGATGGCTGATGGCAAAGAGACATGTGTGACATGCCTGAAGAATCTTGAATCCATTTCCTGGAAGAGACATTCCAGGTGTGGAATGCTCATGCTCATGACATCGTTCTAAATGTACCCGCCATATGAACGAAATTCTGAATACGACAGTAACATGTCGTTCTATGTTGCTCTTGTTGCTCTTGTCTGCTGTGTTGGTTGCATTTTGCTCTTGGTGTGTCCAACTTTTGGACTCTTGAGGTGGTGGATTCGCTCTCCAAGGACCACGGTGATGGTGACTGGGAAGTCTGGGAATGGACACGAATAAATCGAATAAATCGAACAAATTGAATAAATTGAATAAAATGAATTGAAGGTATTCGAATGCCTTTGAGTATTTGGGCATGCGATACAGTATGAACGGGGCGCTGCTTTGTCGTCCAAGAAGGAGACCAGTCTGAGGCACCCGGTGGTCCTTCGCAGGTTCGGGCAAACCTTGGGGATCGGGCCATGTCGAGCCCGGTCCCCTTTGTCAAACTGCCGTAGTCAAAATGTCAAAATATGTCAAAATGCTTTAATAATCTTTAATAATCTTTAACGAAGAGGCACCTAGACAAAGATACGCAGAGAAACTGGGTTTGTGTGATGCAATTGTTGGGTTTGAATCATGTCCGAAGGCCAAAGAACTACAATGTAGACATATATGCAGACTATGTAGGAACTCCATCCGCTTGAATAATATGCTTTTGAGATATGTTGAATTGATTTTCTCATTGCCGGAGTTTTGCCTCATTTCGTGATTTGTTGCCACAGGCTGTGCAGGGCAGCAGTTTCACTCCTTTCACTGGATCTGGAACTCGGCTTGGCGTGACACCTAGTTACGACAGTTGATCTTGGAATCTTGGTCGATTCAGCGCTTTCCATAGCGTGGCTCTCAAGCATTCACGGCCATCACGGCCGTCGTGGCCATCAACTCATATCATGATGATCATGATGTGCCATGACATGATGACATGCCATGATGTGCCTGCGAGAATCGGTTATGTGACACGTCAATGTTCACGTGGGTTGCAAGGCGGCTGACAAGTTCTTCCATTTTCGATGCTGAAAAGAGGGCCTACAGGGCTGCCGCTTGCAGCCTGCTGTGACTCTGCAAGTTTTTGCCACTAATTTCAAGATGTGCTTTCTGTATCGTTCTGTAAAGTCGTCAAATGATTTGCGCCACGAACCCGAGAAACAAGTCAGCCTATGTGGGGCCCCCCATGTAGCTACAGGCTACAGTCTCAAATGTGCTTGAAATTGCTTGAACTTAGTTGAGACCATTCCTGACCGTGGCTCTCATTTTCTCCCTTGAATTTAGGCTCAAAATGACTCAAAATATGCGCTCAGCTCATGGCCTCTGCACAGAAAGAGTTTACTGTTTTAGACAGGTGGAAAACATGTGGAAAACATGTGGAAAACATGTGGAAAACATGTGGAAAACATGTGGAAAACATGTGGAAAACATGTGGAAAACATGTGGAAACAGTGCAAATGGCTTTGCAATCAGAGAGACTTGAAACTCCTTGGACAGCCCTCGAATCTTTGAACCGTCTCCATTACTGAAACGAAGTGCCTTGAGGTGACAACCAGGACTGTCCCAGATTCAATGAGTTCCTTCAATAGGTTTGAACTTTGTCTATATAGGTTTGGGTTTGGACAGCTTCCCCTTTGGTCTTCAGATAACTCTGCTCATGCTTATGTTTGACAATAAAGATCCTGTCCTCAAAACAGGAAGTGTAAGACTTACTGTATAATAAATAAATAAATACATAAATGAATAAATAAATAAATAAATAAATATATATATATATATATTATAAATATATATTTATTTGTCTACACTGGTGTGTCATTTTCCATACTTCTTCATTGCCAAGTTTAGGCTCTGTCCTGTATCCAGCATTCTAGATCTTGTAATGGCAACTTTTTCCTGTGCCTTTGAATGATAGAGCTTTCGCTACACAGTGGAGAAGGCACGAGATCAGAGTGTCGCCTCCAGCGTGGTCTGCAGATCGAGGAGTGTTACCGCTACAAACTCTTCAGTAAACTGTTCGTTCAGTCAAAACATGCTGTTGTACGGACCACCCCGATTACTGCTTCAGATTGCTTCAGCTGAAAAGGAATGCAATTCTTCCCAGTAAAAAGTTACACCAACCAATGTGCCATATTCGAGCTTCATTTCACATCACAGCTGGGCCTGCTTTCAACTCATAAGGAGACACACATGAAGTCATGATTTTGACAATTTGTATATTTGGGGTTTTGTTTTCTTTGTGTCCTTTCAATTCCATTGCTACAGCTTGTGCTGCAGGTGGTGCGCAAAGCTGATCATGCAATGCATTTGCCTGGGACCCTGAGGATGGGCGCTGAAAGATGTGATACCTAAAACATCCTAAAACATCCTACTTGTACAACGATTTTTACTGTCGCTTTGTCGGAATATTAAGAAATGGCATGTGTAGTAGTATTTTTTTTCTTGGCCCTTGTTTTGACCCAACCAGCTACATGGTTGTCATATAAACTATCGTACAAGTATTTGAAAATGCACCAAAATAGTGGAATGGTTCAACCTACGGGCGCAAGGACCCTTCAGAAGTGAGCTTTGCGTTCCCTGCTGGCACAGCGATGTGGGAGGAAGAGATGAAAAGAATCAAAACACAATGAAAGAAGAGAAAACAATATAAAATAAAAAATAAAACGAGTTGGCTCTGCATATGCTGCTTTTGACAAGACGGTGCAAGAAGCTAGCCAAATTCGCCTGGTCATAATAATAACCGACATCATGCAAGCCCGGGGACGCCCGTAATATTCCTGCCTTGTGTCATGCGACTGGGATCCTGAGCAAGAGTGTTCCCGTCCACCGGCATGCAGCTGCAACTCTTGCGCCCTTGAGTCACACCAGCCATTGCGCGCTCTTGCACCGCCGAGCCGAACATCGGGGAGATGCTCTGTAAAGAGCTCTCCTTAGTGTTTGGTCGGGGGTCATGAGGGCGCATTGGCCAGTGACGCATGGGCGCTTCAGGAGCAGCTGCCTGCAGGTGGGCGGGATACTCTCTGCTCATGGTCGCCGGCGCAGGGCCTTGGCAGGATGAACGGGCGGCGCCGGGCTCGGGTGTAGTTGGTTGCCGGAGGCGTTGGGCTGAGCGGCTTGCAGCTTGGGCTTGCCCAAGCTGCGAGTCGATCGGCCCCGCGCTACCCTCCCGGCCCTGGGCTGCCCCGACCGGGTGATGGGCTTGTGGTATTGTACCGGCCACTCTTGTTGATAGCGGCGCAGAGCTGGCTCACAGGGGCAGCCCAGGGCCGGGGGGGAGGCATTCAATTTTTTTGAATATTAAAGGGGAAATTGCGGGGGGGAAAAATATCATAAAATATCAACAGAGGATAATAAGGATGACGAGAGAACTCTCTTCCACCCAGTTGGGAAGACAACGCTTTGCGAACGGCTTTCAAATGGCATCAAAGAGTCAAGGCATTCAACCATGCACCGCAATCAGTCTTGCTTCCAGCTTGGCCTTTTTTGTTTCTACTATCCGCGGCGCACTGTCCGTCCAAGCTCTTGCAAGTGCCAGTGAGACACAATTTGGAAAACCCATGACAATCTTGGAACAAAACTAATGGACTAATGTTGCAGCCGTATTGCACAGCGGCGTCTGCTATGGCGTGTCGCTGCCCTTGTCTGATTTCGCAGTTGATCTTGGAATCTTGGTCGATTCAGCGCTTTCCATAGCGTGGCTCTCAAGCATTCACGGCCATCACGGCCGTCGTGGCCATCAACTCATATCATGATGATCATGATGTGCCATGACATGATGACATGCCATGATGTGCCTGCGAGAATCGGTTATGTGACACGTCAATGTTCACGTGGGTTGCAAGGCGGCTGACAAGTTCTTCCATTTTCGATGCTGAAAAGAGGGCCTACAGGGCTGCCGCTTGCAGCCTGCTGTGACTCTGCAAGTTTTTGCCACTAATTTCAAGATATGCTTTCTGTATCGTTCTGTAAAGTCGTCAAATGATTTGCGCCACGAACCCGAGAAACAAGTCAGCCTATGTGGGGCCCCCCATGTAGCTACAGGCTACAGTCTCAAATGTGCTTGAAATTGCTTGAACTTAGTTGAGACCATTCCTGACCGTGGCTCTCATTTTCTCCCTTGAATTTAGGCTCAAAATGACTCAAAATATGCGCTCAGCTCATGGCCTCTGCACAGAAAGAGTTTACTGTTTTAGACAGGTGGAAAACATGTGGAAAACATGTGGAAAACATGTGGAAAACATGTGGAAAACATGTGGAAAACATGTGGAAAACATGTGGAAAACATGTGGAAACAGTGCAAATGGCTTTGCAATCAGAGAGACTTGAAACTCCTTGGACAGCCCTCGAATCTTTGAACCGTCTCCATTACTGAAACGAAGTGCCTTGAGGTGACAACCAGGACTGTCCCAGATTCAATGAGTTCCTTCAATAGGTTTGAACTTTGTCTATATAGGTTTGGGTTTGGACAGCTTCCCCTTTGGTCTTCAGATAACTCTGCTCATGCTTATGTTTGACAATAAAGATCCTGTCCTCAAAACAGGAAGTGTAAGACTTACTGTATAATAAATAAATAAATACATAAATGAATAAATGAATAAATAAATAAATAAATGCGAATAGAGTGTAGGCTACGGAACACTGTACACTCCAACATAATTCAGCCCTCAAGGATCCACAGCCAAAGGGTACGTCAACTCGCCCCTTTGGCTCAAGACTACTGCAGGAACCGGAACAAAGAATCGCAATGCCGAAGCCGCTACCCGTGTGACGTCACCACTGAAACACCCATTTCAGAATCAAGTACCAGAACATAATCGGGGGGATAATCTCCGATTCTCAGGTTATCAGCCGTAGGACTCCTACGGAGCCTACGAGCGGGGAGCCGCGGGCCTTACAGATGACTGAACAGGATAGCAGCGATAACGCATTTTCTTTTTCTGGACATGCCGTTGCACCAGCTGCCGGCACGCAGTCAAACTCTTCACAGAGTATCGACACTGGTGGAAGCGATGCCTCAGAATTGAGAACAAGCCTACCCAGGCGACCTCTGGTTGCTCCTAGAGGGAGACAAATTTCGACAATGCAAGCAATTGAAGATAGGGACAGCACACCTGGAAAGAGAAGGTCATCTGCACGAGAATTGTCGCCTCCGATGACTCCAAGGACTAAGGCAAAGACTACGTCGTCGAATCCGCCTTCACCGATTCAGGACGCTACCCCATCAGGGACAGGATCTTATCAGCAAGTGAATGCCCCGTCAAGTGGTAGCGACATCTTCACTGCCTATCAGAGTGAGTTAGCAGAATATAAGACATCACTAGAGAGGGCCACTGAAGAAGAATCCGTACTTCAGGCAAGATTGAGCGAGACGACAGCATATGCCTATCAACAATTTAATTTCCTGGAAAGCACCACTCATCAAGAGATGATGTCGATGACCGAACAACTCCAGATGCTGAACTTCGAGTTACAGGCTGCACAACAGGAAGATGAAGGTGCGACCTACAGGATCGAAGAGTTGGAAAGGTATCAGACTATGTCGAATGAAGCTGCATCTCATTTGGATTTCAAATATTCACGACTACGTTCGGAATTCGATGAACAAATGGGACAAGCAAACGCAATTATGGTGCATGTGGGCGCTGATGCGAATGCTCACATTAATCAACTCAGACTGGAACTGGAAAACGCAGAGATGAATGCCAAGCAGGAAGCTCTAGCGGTCGGCTATGCTAACGACCAGACATGTGCTTTACAGATCGAGATGCTCGAGGTTGCTAATCAGAACCAGACGATGAAGCACACCATGGCCATGAACGTCAGGCGACTGGAAACTGAGCTCGATGCTGCTGACATGAAGAGGGACGAGATCATGAAGGAGTTCCGTAGTAACATAAGATCTGAACATGACCGTTATGCAGAATGTGAACATCACTTAGCTTTGGAAGAATCGCAGCTTCGATTGCAGGTGATCCACAGTGAGAACTTACAATCTCGACTAGCGATT